CCACCTCACTGTCCACTCATCTAGCCCACACTTCCTGAGCTTGCCTGTGAGGATGTGATGGGAGACACCTGTGTTGAAGTCCAGGGAGACAACATCCACTGCTCTGCCCTCATCTGCCCAGGCAGTCATTCCATCACAGAAGGCTATCAGGTTGGTCAAGCCTGATTTCCCTTTGGTGAATCCATGCTGACTACTCCTGATCACCTTCTTGTCCTCCAGATGCTTAGAGATGACCTCCAGGATGAGCTGTTCCATCCCCTTTCCAGGGATGGAGGGGAGGCTGACAGGCCTGTAGTTTCCTGGCTCCTCCTTCTTGCCCTTTTTGAAGACGGGGGTGACGCTGGCTTTCTTCCAGTCCTCAGGCAGCCAGGACCTTTCCAAGATGAGGGAGAGTGGCCTAGCAATAACATCCGCCAGCTCCCTCAGCACTCGTGGGTGCAACCCATCGGGGCCCATGGATTTGTGGATGCCAAGTTTGGACAAAAGATCTCTAACCTGATCCTCCTCCACCAAGGGAGAGTCTTCCTTTCTCCAGCCTTCCTCTCTTGTCTCCAAGGTCTGGAATTCCTCAGGACTGGCCTTAGCAGTGAAGACTGAAGCAAAGGCAGCATTCAGTAACTCTGCCTTCTCTGTATCCTTCGTCACCAGGGCACCCGCCCCATTCAGCAGCGGGCCCATGTTTTCCCTAGTCTTCCTTTTGCTACTGATGTGTTTGAAGAAGATGGAATGTATTCTTAGTCTTTGGTTTGTCACCAAACCAGCTGTTACTAGCGTTAACAACCTATAGGTAATAGTTGCATAATATGTCCATAAAACCTCTTCAGGTTTTTCATGAAGTTTACATCACATAAAACTGGGTAGCATGACTGGAATTACTGGTTTCCTTCTGGCTTTTTTTTTTTGTTTTTTAGAAGGGGGAAAAAACTTTTCTGCAATTTTCATTTGCCTATTTAATTAAAATGTATGTAGGTGAAGAATAGTTCTTTGAGAACTATATGAGAAGCTCAGAATGCTTCTCTTATGTTCTCCTGTAATGTTGCAGAATAATTTTCTAGGTTCTTACTGAAAAGATGATGGGCTCTGAGAGAGAGGGAGAGAGAGGAGTTGTGAAAGGAATGAAGAAACTTATACTTTATCATGTAACCTGCTTAACTTGCTACCCTTACTGGGTTTCTCATGACTGTTTGAGTCTCTGTTTAGCAAACAGCTGGACAGTAATTTCTTTTATTTTTAAAGATTATCAGCCAAAACAGAGATTGAAAAAATAACAAATCCAAAAGCACTGGAAGTGAAAAGGGATTATTAGCTAGGCTTTGAGCAAAACAACTTAACACATTGTATTCCATTTTATCAAAAGATAAACAAAACCAATTAATTCATGGTCATGCTCTTGTTTTACAAAGGCAAGTATTATCCAAGTCCTGCAGGCTAGTTTGATACCAGCATGGAAGTAGGGAGTCTTGGATACGGATTCTTACCGACATGCCTTTAGTTTATGGAACAATCTGCCTCTTCAACTGAACAACTTTCAATTTAAAATAAAGGAGTTTAAACAGAAGCCAAATGTATTCCATGTAATTTTAGTTACCTGTATGAAGAACCTAAGCAGTGTAGTGTTTTGATACAATATATGTTCTTTACAGCCCTTAGGTGGAATGAATTACTTCTGTCTCTTGACTGAAGGTCACAAGCTCACCTGAAGAGTACCAGTCCCTGAAGGGACCAGTCTTGTGTCTCCATGCACTCTATGCCCACGTTCCTTCCCTGGTGCTGGCATTAGTGCTCATACGTATGACCCTGCAATGAACCAGTTCAGAGAGTTAAAACAATAGAAAACGAATCATTTCTTATGCAGTTTGTTTTCTGACAGCTTACTTCCCTGAACAACCCTGTCTGAAGGTTAGGCAAGAACAAGCAGCAGCAGCAGGAAAATGAAAGGCAGCTATAGTTGACAGGGAAGCTGGGTGGGACATTTGGTGGTAATTAGCCATCAGACAAACTTAGCTGCAACATCAGTCTGTGCTCTAATTTAAGTGCCTCAGTTTAGTGGCTAAAAATAGACGTGATAAATTCAGGACAAACTGTTTTTAATTGCGAGGAATGCTGTTTTGGAAAAATAGCATGCCCCTGAGGTATTTGTGGCTATGGTTTTTGCTTGCATTGTTGCTTTCATACAGGATCTATGATACCTTACAGTACCACTTTAATATATTATAGTTAGGTAATCCTTTGAATACGTTTTTGATTTTTTTTTTTCTGTAACGTTTCTAGGCTTTTATGCCATTATTTTGAAAAGCCAGACATGGATGGAAATTAATTTGCTCTTCTGTAAATACAGAAGCACAAGCTCAAGAGGTCTGAAAGAAGGACTTGTGTTTCTGAAAGCTTATGTACGTTCCCATAGGGACTGATTGTTTTATTAAAAGATATTATTTCTTCCTACAAACTTTGCATTTTAGAAGATGCCCTGGCTGCCACAAATTGGTACTGTTCTCTTGACCTTAGTGCTAGTTGAGCACCTGGACTGTGTACTCTGGACCGAGAAACCAAATTCATGATAAAAGCAGGGGGACAGGCAGGAGGGAGGAGACGAGAAGAAAAAAGCCCTGTTGCTGCCACCTCGTGGAGATTAGTAATAATAGCATAAATAGGTTTGCGAAGTCGAACACTGCCAAAAAAAAAAAAAAAAAGTGTGGATTCTTGCACTGAGACCCTGACTTCACGTAGCCTGCTTTTGCTGGGTAGGAGCTCTGAAGGGAGGCACTTCGCTGAGCCTGGGGCGCCTTGGTGTGTCTCCTGGTGTGGGCCTGCATGAAGGCAGTGTGCGTTCACTGTGCTCGCTGCCATCGTAGATGTGAATGAGTACCCCAGCCAGGTTTCTCTCCCAACCCATTTGAAACAATTGATCGTAAATTCCTTGTATACACAGCCCCTGGACTGGACACTTGGCTCATTTATATGGATGCAGTGATAGGAGATGTCTTCAGGCTCCTGAACGTCAAAGGGAGGCTAGAGATTTTAAGCACTTTGCCAGTTGTTCAGAGGTTCACCAGGTTTTCTTCTTTTTGCTGTTTTGCAGAAACTTAAGGCTGGGTTTCGGTTTGGCCCTTTAATAGGCTTGGCCCTATACTAACACTATCTAGCTTTTTTTTTTTATTATATTTTTCTGTTTGCGTTTTGGTGTCAATCATGCTTTGTGTGGTATTAAGATACATGTTACAAGGGTGTTTGGCTTTAATGAGAGGGAGCTGAACTAGGCCCGTAGGAATTAGTTTAGCACAGCTATTAAAGGCATGAGCATCCTTTCTTTTCATAAGAAGTGGATGTTTTTACAATTACACCTTTATAGCAGAGGTGCAAAATATGTAGGAGAAATAAGCGCTTCTCAGTAGTGTAACGTAAAGGGGCTTTCAAGAATCTGAGTTGTATGAGGCAAAATTGGGTAAAGCAGACCAGCATTTTTCTGTTTTCGCTTCAGAGTCCTGAGCAGAGCAGATACAGGCCTGGCTTTCTGGGGGCTCAGCACAGCTAGTGCTCTGCCCGGCAAGGCTTGGGCAAGGTCAAGGCTTCTTACAGCTGCAAAAAGGCCAGCAGAAGCCTGCTGTTTTCAGGGCTGCTGTCCTAGCTTTGTGGGTTTTGCAGAAGCTGCTGCTTCTGCTGACTCTGGGGTTCCTCGTTCCCTGAACGCAATTTTGTGTGTATTGTTTTAGCGCTTGCGGTTAGGGATCAGTGTCTTCTGAAAGTGTTTGCGAATTACTGAAGAGGCAAGTTGTATGCCTGAAAATACAGAGGGATTATGGGTTGTTTATTTGTAGTGATTTTACGTGCATTGTTTCTGTTTCTAAAGAGTTGTTTTGATGGTATGTATTTTATTACTGATGAAACATGACTTTTTCTCAAATCCGTAGAGTTTAGAAAGCCCAGCACTTCAACAACTTTCATTTACTGTCAGACGAGGAGAATTATTGGCTGTGATTGGTCCAGTAGGAGCTGGAAAAGTAAGTCTTAATGTATTACACTGCCTGCGAGGTTTTCATAAGTCTGTTGAACACGACTAGAAAGTTGCAAATATACAGTTCCTTCCCTGTATAATAATATGCTTTACATCAAGATAACAGACATTCAGAAAGGCAAATGTCCTTTTTGAGGTGGGAGGTGTGGTTTGAGGTTGAAAAATAGTTTGTACTTTGCTTCTAGACTGCCTGTAAAGGTTACACGTGCATTTATGCTGCTATTGGTACTTTATAGGCCGTCATGCCAATAAATACTACTTGATATCTATGATGTCATTAATTCAGTCAAACCATTTCTGAAATAGTTGTCTGAAATACCAACAATTTATTGAAGTGCTGCTATTGGGAGATTACGGAAGTTTGGGTAGCACGCACCTGGTTTCAGAAGCAGACACTTTTCTCTGTCTGGAAGGTTCATTTCTGAATGTGCAATTAGGGTGCAGGTCATTTCTGTGTCTTTATTACTATCTTGCTTTTTTTTTTTGTTCTCTCTCAAATCTTTTCCAGTCTTCACTCTTAAGTGCTGTGCTTGGTGAGCTGCCTAAAGACAAAGGACTGATAAATGTTTCTGGAAGAATTGCCTATGTTTCTCAGCAGCCCTGGGTGTTTTCTGGTACAGTAAGAAGTAATATACTGTTTGATAAGGAATACGAGAAAGAAAAATATGAAAAAGTTCTAAAAGCCTGTGCTCTTAAAAAGGTATGCTTTTCTCTTTGTGTGTTTTATTTTAGCCATCTTCATTTTTTATTTTAGTGGTCTTGTGGACTTCTATTACACGCTGCAATAAATAACATATAGACTGAATTATTAGTAGCCTGTGAAATAAATTCTGTCACTCAAAAAAAAAGTGTAATTATTTGTGCCATCCATGTGTGAGCACATTCTTGTAATTCCTAATAATTTCACTAGAGGGAGATGTAGTTTCTGTGATGCTCAGACAAATTTGGAAAAAGCTTTCCAAATATTTAATTTCATAATCACTTTTAGCACTGTTGATTGATGTTATTCTAGATATGTATATTATTAGGTGTAATGAAAGGTAGAAAACAAACATTCAGATTAATGCTGTCACTCTCATTTTGTAAATATCCTTTATGCTACTTTTTTTTTTTTTTTAAATAAATTCCATGTACAGCATGTATGCATTACTAACGATTATCAAAAGAACCTTAATGCTGTATACTGGAGAATGTGCTGAGCCCGAGAGATTTTTAAAAAACATTATTGAAAGGTCTATGTGTAAAGGAGTTTGTGACATGAGATATAGAAGAGGATTAAGCCAGATTTGTCAAGAAACAGACATTTTGCTTGGCAGCTAAAAAGGTTTTATGCAGCATGTTATGATATTCCTGTCAGCAGCAACACAGGTGAAAAGCAGATGGTTACCGTGATGAAAAATTTTTTTGCAAGGTTTTTACACATGGTAGACAGTTTTAGTATCTCCCCCTGATATTCAGTCATATACTGTTGTCTAAACTTAAGGTTTTAGTGACTTTAAAAGACTGCAAGCTACATTTAAAAAAAAAAAACAAAACACTATATTTTGTGGTACATTTGCTTGCGTAGTTTTCTTTCGAATTTATAGATCTTAAAAAAGCTGTGAATAAACTTTCTGAATATGTTACATAGCTCAGTGCAAAACTTCTGTATTTTATGGAGAGAAAATACAGTAGCATGACATGGATGACAGGGATGTATAATTTCATTCTCTTACTCGTAGTCCCAGGTCCCATAAATTAACCAATCTTATGTAATAAATGGCATGGATTGGATATGTTGCAGTAAGAACAAAACCGATGTAATTCTTAGGGACATTGGCAAATGGAAAATAATCTACTTTTTACTGGTAGTACCTATTTCAATTTTATTTATTTTGACAGCTCATTATGTTATAGTAAAAGCAATACAAAATTAATTTACTCTTGCATGTAGGGTGATCTGAATGACCAGTGAATGTTCCATATGACACGAAGAATAATGTATTTCTCTCTGGCAGCAGCTGTAGAAAAAGTGAACTTTAAGATCTGACTTTCCTGTATTTTAATGCTCTTTTGCTGAGGGTACAAATCCCTAAAGTATCTGTGGGTATTTCATCTTGTATGACACTTAATATTTTAATGTGAGATGATACCTTAATAGTATTTGAATCAGGAAATGTTAGGTTGAAGTAGGTTTGTCAGTTTTGGCAGTTAAAGCGATAAAGTTTTCTTTCTTGTGGATGTTTTTTATGTTCACAGGACATGGAATTATTAGCCAATGGTGACTTAACAGTAATAGGAGATCGTGGAGCTACGCTGAGTGGGGGACAGAAGGCTCGTGTAAATCTGGCCAGGCTAGTGTTTTTTGCTGCTTCTAATGTTTACAAGCTTGGGAGGTTTTTGACAGGCATTAATGACTAAAATAAACAAATGTAAGAATTTGTGGTACTGACTTTTGTTTAAACCTCGTAGAGCTGTATATCAAGATGCAGACATCTATCTTTTGGATGATCCACTGAGTGCGGTAGATGCTGAAGTTGGGAGACACTTGTTTGAAAAGTATGTTATTGCTTTATTTTCATTTAAAATCTTTTACTTCATTTCAAATTCATTTCATTTATTTTCATTTTACTGTTATCTTCTGATTCCTTACAGAAAGCCTTGAAAAAGCATTTTTAGGGGAGGTGATTTTATTTACAAAACTTAACGCGTTCACTTTCTGCATTTATTTTTTGTTTATTTTATGCATCCAGAAGATCTATCTTCTTTTTTTTCCCCCCATGTAGCCCTGTCATTTTATTCTTTATTTTTAAAAACCCTGTAGAGCTCTATTTTGAAGGTACTGTAATGAGAATTATTCTTAAGGGAATATGTGCCTTTTTCTTGAGGGGGGAAAAATCCTCCCAAGTATGTATTTTGTACGTCAGGATTGGGTTTTATTAATACTAGTACTGAGTGAAGAATAGTGTGGGGTGGGATTTTAAATCACTTCTTTGTTTGCTGCAGCTTTATTTGCGTTGTAATAAGCACTTCTTTCAAGTGGTTAAGGAAAAGGACAGAACTCGATTCTCTCAGATTCTTGAGTGATTTTTTCATTTCTGTTCTTGAATGGTTGAGATTTCTCTGAGATGCATGAAATGGGGAACTGTGGCATGCAGACTAGACTGTGGAGAGCAGGAATAGAGAAAAAGAGAATGTATAAGCTTCCCATAAAAGAGGGAGATATTGGGCCTTTCCCCATTTCTGAAGAAATAGGACAGTGGTCATTGAAAATCAGGTTCCCTTTTTAATAAATTTCCTCTTCTCCGTCTCCCTCTCTTTTTTCAAACTGCTTAATCTATAGCACACAGTGTATAGGAATAACCCAGTTATTCCAGCTAGTGTTTTGTCCTTGTTTCTTCATAGCTTGCTTGTCTCCCTATCAAAAGGTATGATCTAGAATTTATTAGAAGTGGAGGGAACAGCTTCCATTGACTTGAACTTAGTGGGCTTTGGTTGAACCCTTAATGAGAGCATTTTCTCAAGCGCACTTGCATCCTTTATGAATTCCACTGTACAAATATGTGCATTAATTGGCTTTTACTGTTGTTCCCTACCCACAGGCAACCATAAAAACCTGTCTTGCAGAAATGGTTGTAGAATTTGCATTGACTAGGATTGCATGCATGTTCTTTTCTCCATGCAGGGAAGCTGTCAGTATCTAAATTGGAAAATTGTACATCCTGTTGATGTTCACAGTTTCAAATCTTGAGATGCCTCTAAGACCCTATCAACATTGTATTTTACTTTGTTGATTTCTTCAAATGGCTACTGTTTAGTTCCATGAGCTAGTATGGAGTAGGAGTTTTGTGATGTATAGGCCTTACATTAGTTATTCTGTGCAGGATCATTTTCACCTTCCATGACTGAGACCTGGAGGTCATAACTTCTGTATTTTACATATTTTATTAGTTTTCTTTAATGCCTGTTGAAACTACCTCAGCTTTAGCTGTTTTTTTTTTTTTTCTGTACAAGATTGCTGTACAGTTTCAGCTTCCGAATGTGCCTGAGTTCTGCAAGTGTACCTGCTTGAGCTGCCAACTTGTCTCTCCCTTAGTTATGTCTTGAGGATTTTTCGCAAAGGGGAAAATAGGAAAGTGCAGTAGTGCCTTGCAGAGGAGGCCAGGCTGCCTCTTCAATTTATTCCGCTTTCTGTGTGAGCTGTGACGCTGGGAGTGTTCTACATTGTGCTGCAAAACCAGAAGTATGCATTTTTGCATGTGCAAAAACATTAGAGAGCTGGAGAGCACTGCTTTGCTAGCACAATGAATGTTTTGCTGATAAATGTGTGGAGGTGGGAAGGAATGAGGAGATGATCTGAGGAAATCTGAAACTTGGAAAACTAGCTAAGGTTCTTTCGAACAGTGTGTTTGCTTTGGCTTACCCCTTCCTCCCCCTCTGTAGATCCGTTTGAGCTAAACAGATAAAAGTAGAATGAAAGCATTTCATGGGGAGAGCAGGCTGCATGGAGTAGTGGTGGCAAAGAAACCTGAAAAAGGTCTCCTTGTTCAAGATCTTAAGGAAGAGAGGTCTTTCTTTAACAGATGGAAGTTGTCTTCTGAGTTCTCCATGGCAGCTATAAAAGGTGTCGGGGGGAGTATGGAGAGTGTTATGTTCAGTAGCTGGCCTTCAATAACAAAGCTGAGCATGTACTGTAATGTATTCTGCTTCCTGAATAGCACTAGAAATCCGAAAAAGAGAACACTTGGGCAAGAATAATTTCTTAGAATATCATGCTGAGGAACGTCTGAGACACCACTTCATACAAACTGCCCCTAGGAGTCCAAACCGCAAGGCATAAAACAATGGATGAGATGGAGGAAAGAGGGGATTATTTAATGAGCATCTGAAATGGATATTGTTCAGTTTCCCTGCTCCTATTTTTTCTTTTAACTTTATATTCACGTTTAATTTCTTAGAAGCATCTAATCTGCGTGTTTCTGCCTAAAGATAGGTATGCTTCTATGTAATACCTTGAAGCTATGGTCTGTGGACGGTTGGTTCATTACATTTGCTGCTTCTCTTCCTTCTGTTCAGCTACTGCAGTAAATATGGTTGAAAATACATGAATATTTTTCAAATGAGAAAGAATGTGAGTAGCACAGCTCCAGTGGAAAAATAGTCCACAATATCATTATTGTTGTTGCATCTGTTAAGAAATTCTCCATAATACAGACGAGTTGTTCCGTGCGTGATGAAACAAATAATGGTTGTTTTCCAATTGATTTATTTTTCCTAGTCAGGTTCCTTGGGTCCTAACAAGGTATAAACTGAAGATGTTTGTGTCATTCATAGTCTCTTTTGCTGTAGGTTCTCTGATACTTAACACTAGACAAGCTTCAGTCCTTTCCCAGTGGGGAGCACAAGCAGAATTCTTTTATATGTTTATTTTTTATATATGCATATATATCTTTCATTAACTTTTAGGGAATGAGGTATTTTGAGACCTCTACTTTTTGTCTTAGAATTGAAAGGAGGGTCACACACACAGATCCTGTGGTCACACAGGTCTCATTTTCTTGGGTGACAAAGTTTGGAATAGCCTGTAGCGTTTTAAGAAAGTCATTCGGTCATGCTTGGACCCCAATAAATTATCTGTTCTCCCTGTGAGTCTTTTTAACATATTTCTGTATACTACATAGTTTCAGATCACCTTTTGATAGAAACTCAGTTGTGTCCTCTTAGTGATACTGATTCAGAGATGACTTTAAGAGTGGGATTTTTATTTCAACAATGTATTGAGAGAAACACTTTTCTCTAGGTATTTTTCTTCCCTCAAAACTTTTCCAGAGACAGGAACGGTGTGCCAACCCTAGCTGATGAACAGTGTGATTTCATTGTGTTCCTCCTCTGCACTTGTGAAAGTAGACAGAATTGCGGGACAGACTGGGGTTCTTTCAAAATTAAACCCGTTACTGTTTTGATGTTTGGCAATGATATGTGCAGGTGGAACAGCCCTCCTATCAAACACAATTCTGCAAATCTTTGTCAGCTGAAAGCTATTTTGAATGTATGGCTGTTTGCCTTCTCTCCTGTTTTTGCCTCTGGAATTAGATAAAAGCTGCAGGACAAATCCCTGCATCTATCCCAGCACTAACTATGAAGTAAGTGAACGTTAGCATCTATTCAAATGGAGCATGTTGGCACTCAGAGGTGGCCTGTAGTGTGAACTCAAGGGGCATGTAATTGGGCAGTGGATCACTGGTTACTCAGAAGTTGAGACTGACCAGAGAATCACCCAGGTGTTCTGAAAGATAAAGCTTCTCCCTTGCCATTTGAGATAACTGCGAGTTTCTCTGCAGGAGAGGGAAGGAGACGAGCATGATTTTGTAGCAGAGGTTTCCTTCGTAATTGCAGAAAAAAGTGAGGGAGAAGTAAAGTGACTCCAAAGGAGAGAGAAGAATTCCATTGTATAAAGTGCAGGGACAAGAGATGCTAAATTCCTTAGTGCATGCAGACCAAAGCCCAAGAAGGGCATGAGAAGCAAGGGAACTAGAGTAGGGAAAAGGAGTAAAAGGATTTTTTTTCTTTTGGATGTACAGATCTGAATGTTTATTTTGTTTATTTTTAAACCATTTGATTTTTTTGGAAGCCTTACCAGTCTGAGTGTTTCCAATCTCATATCCCTCAAAGTGGGGCACACTTGGAAATTTCCTGTAGCGTTGGCGCTTTGAAGGAGAAGTTGTATTATGGTGTTGTAGATAATTAAAAGCAAGTGGAGTGCATCAGTTCTGTAAGCCTAGCAGACAGAAGCTAGAAGGTCTTGTTTCTGTCGAGGGATTACAGACAGAATCCTTGTGTCAGAGGAACCAAGCAAAAATAACCCTGGTGTGTACTTTATCAGTAGTACTGTGTTTAAAGGCATGCTATATGCTTTGTTTGCAGATGGTGAGGGCACAGGGGAGCTAGCGTGTACATTTAAGGATTCCCTCCTGCCCCCTTGTATGTAGGATCTCTCTAGAAATTAAGGATTTCTCAAGCAATCAAGGATTCCCATTTTGTGTGTCACATCTGGTCCGTGCCCTTCATGTTTGATATCACTGCAGTGACTGCAGCCCTACTGAAGTAGGGGGCAAACTTGAATGCTATGTAGCATTTTTTTGTTGCAGAGGTTATTAAAGACTTTTTAGTTTCATCTTTACATTTAGATGTTATAGTTGGAATTCAATCAACTTGATTATATTTATGGTAGGAATATATTTAAAAGGTAGGAATATATTTTAAAAGGTAGGAATATATCATAGCAATGTTACGATATAATAGAGGTTTGTTTTTTTTTAAAACGAAGAGCATAAGTGTGACCACTGTGCATTCTCTGTTTTTATGAAACTGTAATATTTTACACTTTTTATTTCATTAAAAAATATATTGTTTTAAATCACACAAAAGCAAAAAAGTCTCTAATAGAACCCTATTGTAGTTGCATTTTTAGTGGTGATAGTTGAAAACTATATTATGAATACCAAAATATAAATGGACTCAAAAGGGAATTATGCAAATTTGTATAGGAGAAGTTCATGAAGAGCTGTTTAAATACAAAGGTCTTGGGCTCAAGAAGCCCCTAATATGCAGACTGAGGAAGCAAGAAAGTTATGCCAAAGGAAGCACCATTGATGTTTGCTTGTATGGTTTGTCTAGCCATTCACTGCTGGCTGGTATCTGGACAGGACATGGGATTAGGTGGATCTTTGTTTTGTCGGTGTGATCATCCTTATGTGTAAGCCCAGTGGAGGCTGGGACTTGTCATGGGATAGAAATACATGTTTAGCATGATAAGCATAGGAATAGAAAAGGCATAAGAGAAGTATGTGTGCTTTTAGTGTCTCTTGCAAATATGTCATGTATACTTTGTTCTGAAATTCAGTAAATTTCAAAATATAGCAAAACAGATTGGGATTGTTCTCCCTGAAATTCTTAAATTTAAAGGGAAAGGAGAGGAAAACAAAGGGAGTAAGCAAATTAATATAACAAAGGCTTTACACCTGTGAGCGCTTTTGCATGTGCTTCAGCTTCATTTTGGTGTGCATTTCCATTGACGCCAATAGAAGTATTGACTAGAGTAAAGTTAAACTTGTATGTGAACTTCCACAAAGGAGAGGCAAAAAGAATGCTAAGGAAGAAAACAGAATCACAAAAGAGGAAACCCTTTGCAGAGGTGAAAGAAAGCTGTTTTTTAGAGATAAAAACTAAAAAAAGATGAAAGAACAACTTGTCTCAAAGAAAAGAGAACCTGATTTGGAAGAAAGAACAAATGAGTATTTGTATGCACTGAAGTGCCAAGACTGTGACTGACTTTGCATAGAGAAAGCATTGTGCTGTGATGGGCCCCCATCTGCCTAAGGGTTCTCTACCACTTGCCCTGCAGTGTCACAGCTCAAGCTAACTTTTTTTTAAGTTTGCTGTCAAACTATGGTAGGCTTTCAAATGGATGATAGCATCAAGTTGCTTAGGTGTCTTAATTTAATTTCCTTTTTTGGTCAAATTAGAGAGGTGTGATTTCTGGAACTCTGGGGAGATCTGCGCTAAGGCTGGTGTTACTCGGTGCCTTGGATGATGAATGAAGGTCGTTGATGCTACATTTGCTAACTGGATCATGCTTCAGGCAGTTCAGGAAACAGGACGGATATTTTAAAAGTATTGCTTTCACTTGCTTTGAATTAGTAGATGCAACACAGTGGGGATAAATGTTGACTGTGCATGAGCACGCGATGGATAGGGATCAACTGTGTAGCAGTTCTGTGGAAAAGGAGGTGCGAATAATGGTAGAGCCCAAATCCAGTATGAGTCGGCAATGTCATGCTGACGTGTCCTGTCAAGGAAACTATGCACTGGGATTTATACCCGTCCTGCAGGATATAATGCTGGTAAGGTGATCCTCCTGTTATGTTTTGTACCTATAAGGCCTCAAAATAATGATATATCCGCTTTTGGATTTTGCACTTCCAAAAAGATGCAGACCAGCTGCAGAATCCAGTGTAGCCCCTAAAGAATAGTCAGCTGTGTAGGGGGGGAAAAAAAGAGAAAACTACTTCTCACTTAGAAGAAGGAAATGAATTAGTATTTGGGGAATTTTTTTTGGTCTAGGAAAAAGAAGGCAGAAAGAAACTGAAGTCTTATAAATTAAAGGGATGCTGCACACTGGAATAAACTGGTCTCCTGTCCTTTGGAAAGTAGTAGGCTTAAGTTACTCCAAAAGAAATAGACTTCAGAGGAAAATTTTGTCGTGGTAAAGGTAGATTTTTTCCCTGGAGTACGTTTTCAAGGATGCTGAAAGTTTCTGTGGAGCTCACAAACAAACAAACAAGCAGAACAACCTCCAATGTCTGTCAGGAAGGTTTAAGGATTAAGTTGATTCTCTCTTGGGGATTTCAGAGGGACCTTTCCTAGTCCCTTTGCTCCTATTTTCCTTGTGCTGAAAAGGCTAAAGAACCTTTGGGTCTTCCCTGTCTGCGTTTGTTCTAGCTGTGCGTGCACGCATATGTGTGCGTGCGTGTATGTACTTAATATGTGGCAGTGGCTACTGCGTTTTGTGCAGTAGTTTGTCCTGCTGCCATGCAGTAGATACGCTTAGAGTCTAATAGAGCAAACTCCTCAAGAGAAACGGAGGAGCACAAATATTGATGAACTCTGCGGAGCTGTAAACAGCAGGTAGAAAGATGGTGGGTGTGACTCCATAGCAGAAGTCTGAACACTTAGACCAGATTTATCTCACCTCTTGGAGAATGTTTTCTATAGTTTCTTTGCATAATCAGTAAGAAGGCGAGGCATAGTCGGAGGGTGTTTCACCTAGAATCAGGCACCTTCAGTGATGCTTGTTTTTCTTGAGAGATGAAGAGTGGTATTTCTAAAGCTAGGTGGCATGAACCTGAGGCTTAGGAAGCTAGACCGGTTAACAGTGTAAATGCTTATGGATTATTTTAGGGTTTTTTGTTTTTTCTATTCAAAGACAATACCATCTTTTCACTCATTTGAATACACTGTGCTCTCTGAATTTTGTGCCAGGCCTTTATCATATTCTATAATAGTGAGCCTTTCTTTGAACTCTGGCTGAATCTCTGAATCTCCTGTGGCAGCCAAGGCAGCATATAAACATAATGCTCACTGCGTACTGCCAAATGGATGTGGTCAAGAGGGAGAGGGGATATTAAAAAAAGGTTTAGAGCATAAAACTCAAATAGCTTGATGTGTTCAAACTGATATGTAGTATCTGTTTAGTATTTTACTAGTTTTGCAAGTTCTGTTTCATCATCATACAGTATTTTAAATGGTAGAATTTTCTAGTGAGCTGTCTGAGCAGAGAGTTGTTTAACTCAGTAATAGATTTAACTATACGCTGTTTGTCATGATTTTTACTCCCTGCGTTCATGCCATTGAATTGTGACAACAATTCTTCTACTCACTTGTTACCCACCAACTATTCAGCTAGTTTTGTCCTACTCAGATAGACATCAAATCGAGATTTTTTGTTTTTAAGTTCTTATTTGAATGAACTGGTACATCTTAGCAATTGGTGGTTTGAATTTGCTTTCTGCAGAGGTCATTTTTGCCTTCTGTTCTGAGATCAAGATCGTCTAGGATGCTGTGCTGACAGCCCGAACTGGTCTAATTGGTTTGCTCTGATACTGTGGTAATCCAATTTTTTTTTTTCCCAAACACAAACTTAAAGTGCAGTGGGTTCAGTATGGCTAAGAATCATCAAGGTTTCAAAGGTTTTCAGCCATTAGGTTTTATAGTGCCTAGTTTGTCCCAGTAAACTGTTAGACATGCATCTTGCATGCAGAAATTGAATGATCAAAGAGTAGTATGTAGACAAAGCTCAGTCTCTTGACAGTCAATAGCTGGCATTTTCTCTTTTGGTAGCTTTCTTCTAGGCAAGTAACTATTCTGCAGATCCTTTGTCCAGTCCTCTGGATCTGGTTTGTTAAGGGGCTTCTTCCAGGTCTTGAGCTGGTTCTCCAGTTCCCGTGTGGCTTGATCCAGCAAAGGCTCAAAGGATCTGCAATAACCACACCCAAAATAATACTCGCACAAACAATCTGAGATATAAATAGTTGCAACTGCTCAGCAACTAGGTATAATGCTGCTGTAAATAGCTAGTCGTTATTAATTGTTATCTTGGTCACCAAAGAACTATTTTGTTGGTTTATAGTTGCTTCTTGAACGCTGTATAGAAGTGATACGACTTTTTTAATGAGTGTTGCTTCCAACCTAATTTTATTGCATAGTTTACTTAGAACTGTATAATATCCTTTTGTGTGTGTAATTATTTATTCTGATTAGTACTAGTGTTAACTATTTTACTGTACATTACTTCCTACAGTCTTTGTAGGAGTGATAAAATAGATATTAAAAGTTGTGTGTAAGGTGTTAAGGAAATGTACAGGATGAATTTATGAAACGCAATAAGCAATATATCGTTACCGTTAAGCTCGTATTCTTCTTCTGCCTTTTCCCCCATACTGCTTATTTGCATTTCTCCGTTGAATTTGTATTATTAGATTGCTGTGGTTTTTGCTGTGGAGATTTTTGTTGTTGGTTTTTGTGTATGTGTGTTTTTTTTCTTCCTAGAGAGGAAGGTAACCCTTCAGTCCATGGGAGGAGGTCAGAGGTGTGTGAAGGACCTCGCTCCTCCACCGCAGTACATACCTGAATGTAGCTTAGATCAATGGTACTGTTTACTTCTCTATAGCTCAGACTTATTGTAGCAGCTGCTCTGAAAGCTTGGCTCAAACAAGTAATTTTTGTTTCCCTTTATTTTTTCCATAATTATCCATAGTATCTTGCCCTGCTTTGCTGCTTTCTGTTTCATTTTGGCTAAATTTACTGTTTGTAATCCTGCTTGTGTCACATACATTTGTTAGCAGGAAGTTTAATACGCTCTTTGTGAAAAGTCCTTAGGATACTTTCTCCTCCACCCCAGCCAGGAATTTGTTTCCTACTTTGAAAACTTAAAAAGTTAATTAAGGAATATGATCGTTAAGCATACAATAAGTGCATTAAGCGTGGGTATCTTTTTTTCCTATTTTGAAGACCGTATAATTGAGTAGAAGTTTTCCAGAAACACTCAAAATGTTTTAGGATGCTAAAGTGTTTTTTAAATTCTTTTTCTATCTCTTTGCAGGTGTATTTGTCAGGCCTTACATCAAAAGGTCTCTGTTTTAGTGACTCACCAGTTGCAATATCTCCGTGCTGCAACTCAGATTCTAATCTTAAAAGATGTAAGTGATATCAGTGTCTATTCTTTAAATCTCATGTGCTTTCCAGTAATGTTTCGTAATCTAAGAATGGAAAAATGTATTTACAAGCCAAAACTAAAAACAGTTTTAACTGCGTTTCCTGTCACCTTACGATCATATATGTTTTTAAGGATGAAAATTACTAGTGAAATTAATTGAATTTTCTTAGTATATCTTCCCTGAAAAATGTATTTTTGAATTTTCCCATATGTATATGTAATCTTATTTACCAATTTTATCTTACATATGTATACTGTACTGCAAGAGAATTATTTCTCTTGAGACCTAAGACTTTGCTTTTATTCTTTTTTTTTTTTTTTTTTTTTTTTTTTTTTTTTTTTTACACTTTCATATGAGTTGGGAAGAACTACGTTGGTTTTGCAACTAGTCCTTTTTTTTCCTTGAGGCTGAGAAATGGTCACAGATACCTTTGAGACCAAGCAGTCCTTCAGCAAAGCTGATTCCTTCCAAGCTTGGTTGTGCCAGATGTTTGAGGGTAGGGGGGAAATGCAAGAATTTTGACTTTTTAAAGGTTGGGTGTTAAAAGTTCTTCAAGTTACTCTTGATATATCATCAAACTGCAAAAAAGGACAGTAGCCACTTTTTTCCTCCCATTAAGATCACTTTAAAGGTTATGGTAGTTTTCCAGAGATGAGTTTGGGATGGAACTGAGAGATGTGTGGAAACATTTTCTGTTACTCCTTGTAGAGCTCTGTGAAGACTAAAAAGTATTAAGCTGTATTCACCCCTAGCTTAGAGTAATATAAAATGCCTGATGGTCAGGTATGTTGTTCAACAGCTGTGTGGCTGACTTTTGCAGCTTCTCCAAAGTAGTTCTTAGTTGGGTATAACTAGGACTTTTGTCATCTCCTTTGTATGCTATTTGGCCTGGTTAGCTGCCAGGAAGAGGGGCCTGGTTAGGGACTTAAAAGCTGGTTTCTGCTCTTCTGAATGAGTAACTGATAGTAAGAGGCTTCACCTCAGTTACTGCAGTAGTATTTGGGCTCAGCAGCCACAGAATTCCAGCATTCATGACCTGTGCAGCAGGGATAGAGAGGAAAAACTATCCTGTAGAGAAAGTGTGTAATGAAGATAATCAAAGCTTATATTTGTAGGGTAAAATGATGGGGAAAGGTACCTATTCAGAGTTCCTGAGATCTGGCATCGACTTTGCTTCCCTTTTGAAAAAAGATGAGGAGCGAGAGCAGCCATCAGTTCCAAGCACCCCCAATCTGAAGGCCTCAAGGAACCGTACCTTTTCTGAGTCCTCTGTCTGGTCCCAGGATTCTTCTGTCCACTCACAGAAGGATGGAGCAGTGGAGCAGCCACCCGTGAGTGCACAAAGGAGAGACCCGTCTCGACTGTTATTTGGCTGCTTTTTAACGTAGATTGTGATAAGGTTTATCTCTGCTGCATTGGAATTTCAATGATTATTGGTTTCCAGTAGCACGTGAGAGTTCACCCATAGTCAATCTGCCTAGCACTGTGCTTGGCTGGCAATCCTAGCACCTGGAGTACAGAGAGCAGGCATCCCACAGCTCTGTGCTGTGCATTCAAACCCAGCAGAGTTTCTTAGTTCAGGTTCAGCATCAGCTGTGCTGGATCTAGGAAACATTCCTGTAGAGCTATCCGAAGGCACGGCCCTGTGCTTCCTGTATCCTCACACGGGGTGCTCTAAAGGGCCAATGCAGCACGTGATTCAAACAGGTTCTGCATGTGTGTGCAGTGCTGAGCTCAAATTAATACTTCCCCTGAAATCCTGAGCTCCGAGAAGTGCACATGAAGGCTGTGGCTTCATACAGAGTCTGCATTTGAATGGTTAGCACTAGCATAACCCTATGGTCGTGAGCTGGCCCTGAGGAAGGAACTATGGGACAGCACTGCACTGCTATCCCCAGCCCTCTGGTATTGCAAACGGCATGCTTTGTATGGTACCAGACGCCTTGCTATCTTTTCGTCTGCACTGTGTAAAAGGAGCTGTAACATTTCTGTACCAGAGCTGGCCTGGAGGTGGTGTATCTGCATTCACGCAGAGCAGTGCAGGAGTCCTGTAAACCTCCTAGACTTGTGCTAGCATTGCATCTGTTGGAACAGTTAATTACTGTGTATCCCTGATGCTTTCCACTTTTATGCTATGGATGTGTGTGTGTGTAATGTGTGTGTATGTATATATGTGTGTGTGTGTATACACACACACACACACACATATATATATATCTGTATATATATGTATTTTTTCCTATAATAAACATGAAGTTATAAAAAAAAAAAAAGGCCACTGATTTTTCTTTTAACTTTTTACTTTTCATACTTTTTTGGAAGAACTTTTTTCTGCCAGAAAGCAGTAATCTAATGTGGTATTAATGTCTCGGTGGTGACTCTGCTTTTCTTAAATCTACAAAGAGACCAATATGTGCCAAATTTCCTTTTTTTTTTTTTCTCCCCCCACCTATCCTATCTGAGAGCTCTAGTGCTGCTAAAACCGGGATAGGCTTCTCTGTAGGCAAGTGAGATTTCTCTTTTGACATCTGAGTCAGGTCTGATTCCACTGCTCTTATGCAGCTGCATCTGCTGGCAACAAAATCAATGTCCACTGAGCTGGCACCAGTTTTTCTGTCACATATACTGTAAAAAGTCTTGTTCATTTGAATAGCTCTTTAGCCTTCTTTATGCCTGTCTTATTTTTCCCTTTTCAGTCTTTTGGTGTCCCTTGTCCGTTGTTTGCTTAATACAATTTGTTGTTTATCATTTTACTCATTTTCCCTATTAACAGATGTTTTATTGTACTTGCAAAGATGTGATTAGAACTTTGTGGCTAATTTCTTTCCTTGGGCATGTGTAGATTAAGCTTGATGCATACTTTCAAAGAGTATTTACTTCGAATACTTTCCTGTGATGAAAAGGTTAGACATGCTTGCGTTCTGAACGCTGAAACTTTCCCAAGTCAAGGCCTTTTAGTTTTCAGAGCCCTTGTAACTGATGGCAATGTACAAAAGAAGAAAAATTCGGCAGACAGTTAGCAGCATTGTCAGAGCAAATATTTCTGATCGTAGGTGAAGTCCTGTTACGTGCCCTGATGAAATACAAAATACTCTGCAAAATGACATTGCAAGGATTTTATTTTTTTCAGTATTATTGCATTGAGATTTTGTAAAAGCCATAGTTCTGCTGTTTAAGTTTTTTTATAAGCGTAATGACTTTATTTCCTTATTTAATTGTTTGCTAGTTCTGAACTGTGACTTTCAGAGGGCCTAGTTTGAATCTAAAATTGCAAGGTTGACATTGTTTGTTCTGTCCCCCCAGGCTGAAAGTGCACTGGCTGCAATGCCGGAGGAGAGTCGCTCTGAAGGAAAAATAAACTTTAAGGTTTACAGAAAATATTTCACTGCAGGAGCAAACTACTTTGTAATTTTTATACTTCTACTATTCAATATTTTGGCACAGGTAAGTTGTCTGGAGCCACAAGTAATTAATGTAAAAAAAATTTTTTTTAAACATAGTGTATGCTTGTTTCAATGATGTGTTTGAGAACATGATGTTCTTCTATCTGATAATTTTGTAGTATATTCGATCCTGTTTTGTGTATCAACATGTACTTTTTGTACAGCGTTGAACTGTTTTGTACTGGTCCTATTTAACAATCATAATATTTTCATTAAGCAGTTATTTTACTGACAGTACAGTGCATGAATTGTAAGCCTGTCTGCTTTTTGTACCTTATAATTTCGTTCCGTATCTCTGAAAACTAGTCTTAACGAATTTGAACAAACAAAAGTATCCTCAGTTGAGGCAGGCAAAGAGGTTGACTGGATACGGGAGGACAGAGTCTGGCAGAAGTGTTGAAAGAAAAACTCTTTTGTTGATAGGTTACGAAGAGGACTAGGAGGAAGGTCACTTTAACAGATTAAGTGGTAAGGAAGAGGTAGGGAAATATGTTGTGTGTGACACAGTGCAGCAGATATGTAGAAGAGTTTTTAAACAAGCAAAACGTTTTTGAAACTCACTAGAAGAAATGGCAAGCTAAGAAAGTTGTGCGAAGATACCTTATTGCCTTTTTCTCTGTTTCCTGATGAGAAAGCTCAAACTCATTTCGTGGAAACAGTTGCTGGTCTCGGCTTTAAAGGTAGCGTGGGTGTGTATGTGTTTATGTATTTAGACACATTACTTCCTTTCTGACTGTCCTTGAATTGAGTCTGTTGGAAAGATCACTGAGCATGATCAAATCTCTGCAGTAGACCATCTAGAATTTTAGTTCAATTGAACAGAGGTTTATTTTGAGATAAATAACCCTATTACAAGTTCAGCGTAACCTCTGGGCACAGAAGGAAGGTGCAATAGAAATTTTTTTTCCTCGCTCTCCTCCCTCCTCCTTCAGCTCCGTTTCTAATAATTATCTTCTGTAAACACAAATTTCTGGACTGGTAACATCAGAAAGTGTGTTAATCAAAAAGCATTTTGGAATATCTCTAGCAGCAAATTTAGGAACTGAAAAAATGAATTCTTTAATGTTCAATTAACATACATTAGGGAAAGCTACTGCATTTTGTTTACTTAAGTGTGTTGCTTTCCTTTAGTTTGCTATCAAGTAAGGTAATTCAAGGTAACTTCTTTCTTTGTAGAGTGTTCTAATGCACTTTCTAATGTGCTTTGCAAATTGCTGCTGGGTCTTGAAAGACTGGATGGCATACTTTTCTGAATATGTGATGTTTTCCCAGAGAACATAAAAGAAGAGCTAAGGAAATTTAATTTTCTAACGTTTTTTAATTTTTGTAAGATGATTTTTATTTTTTTTTATTTTTATTTTTTTACTCAAGGTGGCATACGTGCTCCAGGATTGGTGGCTTTCTTACTGGTAAGTTAATGATAATAACTGTTCAGCCATTTCTGCCTTTTTAGTCAAGTGCTTTTTGTCTAATAGAAATCAGTGCTGTATAGGTAGGAGAGAAAAACCTGCTGTAGGAAACTTCAGCATTTATTCAGCTTGCTTTTCTGATCTCCTCTTATTTCATCTGTGCGAAAAATTTAAACTTTTATGGTGAAGTCCGATAACTTCTCCTCACAGTGTGATCCCCAACAGCATTGAGTGCTTGTGATCCTTTAAGCTAAAGGTCTCAGCAGAGTTGAATATAGTAGAGGTTAAATGTATGTATGCGTGAATATTTGTAAAATGTGGTTTGATGATTTTTCTTTTGCGTGCATTTCCACAGGGCGAATAATCAGGAGAAATTGAATGTCACAACAAATGGAAATAATGGAATAAATGAGACTGAACATCTAGACCTTAACTTTTATTTAGAAATATATGCAGGTAATTACACACGGACACGTGTGTTTGTTTATATATAGCTTATGTTAAAAAGCTATTATATGACCTATTATAATAGACGGTTTTGAGAGGTACAGTGTGGGGAAATGGGATTTCTAACAGTGACCGAGTAATGTCTTAACAGATTAGCAGCCTGAGCTTGTTTCCTGTTCTAAATTAATTGGAATAATTAAAGAAAAAGATCTAACAGAAGAAATAGGCTGAATGCAAACTCTTAATTTGCTTTGCCTGGATTTTGGAAAGTAAACTAGGAATTGAGTATTCAGAAAGTCAGTCACCATAAGCTTGTGGTTATTGCCTATACTAATAGGTCGTTCAGCTAAGTCTTCAGTCATTATATGGATGGGCAAGAGGGATTAGAAATTGATCCTTATTTTGCAATTCAGTGTTCCAGTTTGTTTATATAATATGCTGCTGTTTTAAAACTTGACATGGCTGTATTCTTTCTGAAGTGCCATAGCAAAAGAACCATTTTTTTAAAGCATCCTGGATAGGTATGCAGATCAAGATTTTAAAAAACAGTTTAGTATATTTCGGTAGGACTTACATAGATATATGCCTCCGAATATCCCAGAAAGGGCATCCACCTTTATCCTCAGACATCTAGACATCTGAAAATACTGTTCTGAAAGATAGTAAAAATGGGCATAGAAAAATGATGTGTAGAAATATATGCTTTCTCTCAGATCCTAGCTATTTAGCACTTCCCTCCTAGTTATTTACAGGTTTGTATGGCATAGTAATTTCTTGATGGAGACTTATATGGTAGATCTGAGAAAACAGGTGGAGTGCCAGAAGAATATACACTGACAGGATAGGCCTTTTTTATTTATTACTTTTCTTGTTTATTTCATTTATGTCTATGTATTTTTTAATGAGAATCTATGTGACCTATGCACTTGGCAGAAAAGATTGTGCTCACCTGAGAAACAACAATTCAGGAGCGAGATAATCTCATTCTTCGTTGCTCTGTGTAATGTCTTATTTTGTGAGCAGTTCCAATGGGCTGCACAGTATGACTAAGGATGGGAAACTTGGCCTTCTGGCTGTATAACCTAAACCATATTACAGAAAATTTTATACTTTAAGGCAAATTGTTTTAGATAAGGGAAGAGCAAAAGTTAACTTGGTATTGAAATGATTAGATGTCTCAGTGATATGTTTGCAGTAGTTGAACAGAAAGCAATACAGAAAATAGCTTATAGAAAATTGTAAGTCAAGTTGAAAAACAGTTATAAAAAGCTTGTAAATTTCATATGTGTAATACATAATTATCTAATTTACCCTTTTCTGTAGCTTCTGAAACTGTATAAAATAATTTATTTGTGATTCTTGATGTCTGAAAAAAAAAATCACCATGGTAGTTCCTTCCTAGTCTTTGTTCTTTCTGTAAGATAAAGATTTAGAAGAGTAAAAAACTTTTTTATGGGAATCCCCGTTGGCCAGAACTGAGGTACGGCTTCTACACCTTTTCTGTGACGTGAGCCTGCCAAGAGCCTTAATCCCTCTAGTACTGAGGAGGTAAGCTTGTAAATAGGGAAAACAAAAACCTTCTGCCTGAGACAGATTGGATAAAACACTTGAAAGTAAGTCTCATGCTTCCCCCTTTCCCACTTCCCCTCTTGAGCCACTAGGTCTTTTCAGGTGATTCATTCACTCTGGTTGTGCATGCAGCTTCCAGTAACTTCCTAGGCAATAAACTCTGAGCAGGCAAACGGAGTGGTTATACCTTTTCTTGCATCGTGGGAGAATACAGCAGTGTAGGCTAGTAAACAGGATAGTAGAACTGATTGATCTCAATGCATCATGCCATTTAAAACCTCGCCCTTTCCCACAGTTACTATGGGAATACCTGAATCGTGTCCAGTTTTTCCTGTCCTTGCAATAAGCAGTTTTTGTGTTGATAGTGAGCTGTGGTTTAAGGGTGTTCTCAAGTCCATGCAGCCTGAGCATCTGGGCCAGTGGTATCTAAGCTCGGTTTCTGGAGCAATGCAGCCAGGGCCTAGCCCTCATCATCTGGGAACTTGCGCAGGCATGTTGCAGGTCACAAACACGAGAAGGCAGACCAGCAGAAATCTCATCGTTCTTTGTTTCTATCTTTTGCCCTTTAGCATCCCTATCTTGTAAGTGGAGATGTGCCTGAAAGACAGACAAACAATCTGCAGACCAATTTCTTAGAAGGACTCATGGCATAAAGGATACATCTTATACCGTGTTAAAGGAAACCACATAATTTTAAATTGTTTGATGTGGTTTATAAGGTGAACAATAGTGTGAGTGGTTTGGACTGGTTGAGAATAACTCAAGATTGTCTTTAAATAGCCATGTTTATATTACTTGGTTAATATCTGCTGGCAAATGCTGTCTTCACAGTGACCTCTGCAAGCCACAATTACTCAAAGCACAGTGAGATGTATTTCTTCACAGAACTGGTGCTCAGAGAGTTTTAATACAGATTTAATTTCTGGTGTAACAGATATTTCTTGTATTTTTAGAAAGTAGTGATTCTTTATAAAAGAAGAAGAGAAATTGTTTAAATTGATGAAATGAGAGCAACTGAAGCTGTTAACAAATATAAAGTATCTATGTTCTGCACTCAGTCTGAGTTCTTAGGCTTAAATTTGTACTCTTGCTGTACACAGAAAGCAGCAAAGTTAGTTTTTAGTTCAGTTTTATTTTGAAATTTTTTTTCTGGTGAAAGATGCCTATCTGTATGCATACTCTGAACATATCTTTTTAATTTCAGGTTTAACGGTGGCTACGATACTGTTTGGCATAATAAGAAGTCTTCTGGTGTTTCAAGTTCTTGTTAATTCTGGTCAGACTTTGCACAACAAAATGTTTCAATCCATTTTGAAAGCTCCTGTGTTGTTTTTTGACAGAAATCCTATAGGTGAGTTTAACAGTCAGAACTCTTCCATATAACGTACTTGTTAATTATATTAAATATACTATTTTTGAACAGTTCTGAAATTACAGTATTTTTGTACAGTTGGTTTTTTTGCTTCTTTTAAAGTCTTCAGATGTAGTAATGTGGTATTTTAAGTTGAAAAGTCAGAATATTGAATGCTTATTGATAATTAACCTTACTCTTTCCAAATGTAGTCTAAGGTAAATGAATGAACTATGATTTTGGTACTGTACATTGAACTTGCCGGTTACATTGCTAATGAGCTAGTTCAGTAACACAGGTCTCTTTTTCTCTGTGTTGCACTTTTATCTGAAAAGCTGGCCTCCAAAGTTATTTACCCTTTTTAAAAATAATTTTAAGCAAGGGTGGTAATGCAGAGTTGTGGAGAAACCGTGTAGTTTACCATCCTTTGAGAGTGGACAAAAACAAAAAGCATGCAGTTTAAACCTGTAATCTGTGTCCTTAGTTACTGAAGAGAAATGAGAGGGATAATTTGAAGCAGAGTGAAGAAGTTAAGTGGTACTGATTTAATAGCCACTGGTGTATAAGCAACAGAAATCTGATGGCCCTTCTGGCCTTCATTCCCTTGAAGAAAAGGAGCATAGATTTGTTCGCATAGTTCCAGAAGTCGCTTTCTAATCATAAGGCTGTATGGGGATGGCTTTTCGGTTTTAGAGAAATTACTGTTATTTTTAGAAAAAATGTTCATGTGGAGAAAAGATCTGGATCCATAATATGAAAAATGAAACAATTTCTACTACTTTTTTTTTTCAAGTCTACAATGGCCCAAGTTTAAGGCCATGTTATAATGGTCTGCTTGTATTGTCAGTATGTGGTACGTGAAGTAGTTGACCGTGAAGACCACTGCAAAGGATTAGAAGTGAAATCTTAAGCTCGGGAGATGGGTTAGTGGAGAGCTAATGAGTGTGTTATACATCATAAGAAACTGTAGTACTAACTAAAGGGGGTTGTTGTCAGATAGACAGGCTCTTGCCTTTTCTCTGTAATTTGCAGCAGATGCAGTTACTGTATTTTTGAGGGAATACATAGCCATCTTGTAAGAATGTCTGTAAACATGGCTGATTATAACAAACGAAGTCAAAACTACAGAGTATACATGAGGGGCAGCATAGAGAAATCTGTAATTACTTACTGTGTATCAAAGTGTAAGCCTAAATTAGCAGTGCTTTGTAAAAGAGTGACTTTCATGAAACCTGCCTATTGCTGCTATTCAGATGCTGTCATGTACTCCCATTTATCAGCAGCTGTTTTATAATAAAAGCTTAACTTGGTGTATTTGCTTCTCTATCTTTTGTTCATGATAGCCTGCAGAGACACTCCTGTTCAGGTGTTTTAATACATCTTTTAGAAAAGGAAAAAAGAAAAGGAAGAAGATGTGAAACTCTTGATGCTCTTGTTCAGAACTGCAGCATGTAGTAATTCTGAAATTCTGTTTTGAACAACTTTTTTTTAACCAGCTGATTTTGGCTTCTTTTTTTTTTTTTTTTAAACCTATATATGCATCTGATTTTAGAACTTCATTCTGAAGATGCCTTTTTTGCTGTACTAATGAGTCCTACATTAGAGTGAGATTTGTTCAAGTAAAAGAAGTCTTCATTTTTTGTGAAGAGGTGCCTTACTATGACAGAGACATTGAAAAGCAGTTATTAAAGTCTCATTTTTGTAGTGTCACGAGTGTAATATCCAAGCCAAGCTATTAGTTATCATAACCCGTATTAGCATAGCTGAGACTGTAGTGACAGAAGCATTGATAGATTTGCCATTTAAGCAGCCAGTGCATTCTCAGTGTATGTGTTAAGTTTCTAAGACCATAGCAAAAGCAACTGCTGAACTGACCTTATCTTTTGCTATTTGCATTTTCCAGAAAATAAGCAGCAATAAAAAAGGCCATGGATGAGGTTTTGAACACAGTGATCTATTTTTGAAAGTCGAGGAAGGAGACTTAAATAAATAGAAATCCCAACCACTCAGTAGTTCTTATTGGGGAAACAGACTAATGAGCAGCATCAGGAAGTTGACATTAGGAAATGAAAATATGTGGTGAATCATGACGTGTCTGTCAGCTCCCAACAGTGTAGATAAATCAGTCATGTTGATAAAAGAAATGACTTTTTTTTTTTTTTAAGTGAATCATCTTAAGGATGAGACCAAGGCCTCTTTTTATGTATTGTGTTAGTAATATATAGGGAAGGGAAGGTTGTACAAGGAATAGTAACAAGCATCTTGCCCAAATGATACAAGAACTTGAATGTACTTTTGAGAGCCTGGGTGACAAGAGTAGAGGCAGGAGGGAAATATGAGGACCCCTGCCCTTTCTCCATTCCTATTCAAAAATACTTTTATATACAGATTTCTCCTTTCTGTAACTTGGCATATATCTAAAAATTGAGTTAGACATTACTGCTTCAAGTACATTTTATATTGGAAAAACATATTAATAAACTGTCTCTTTCTTAAGCACTTAACCTAACCCTATTGAATGGATGTTCCGAAGTAACTAAAGTATTTTGTATTATCCAGCATTCTAAAAGAGAGATCAGATGTTTATGACTGAAATTCAAATACAGCAACAGATACCTGCACAGCACCAATTAATAGTGAAAGCTTGATGGAAAGTGATAGATTATGTGTTTTTTGTTTTAGAGATTATTGCATTTTACTTCTCTGCACTTGTAAACAGAACTTGTGTACTACTTTGGAACATGTGAGTTGACCCTTTCTTTTCCAACTTCCTTTGCTCTTCTATCTAAATTCCAGTGAGGGGATTGCATGCGTGTCAAGCTATATATATATGGAGGAAAATATGGATGTTTTCTGCTTCATGGCGAATGCTTTGTATATTCTGCTTCATCTGTTCACTTGCAGGATTAAAGGAGTTGATTTCTGTGCAAGTGTAGCACAAGAGGGCAGCATGATCCATTTTATTCCAGTCCAGCATTACAGCAGCTTGTTAGGCAGATGACAAAATGTATCTGTAATATTTTTGGAGGTGGTATTTGAGGAGTGAATTTCCAACCTCTACGCTGAGCAATAGTAACGTGGTTCTGTTCAGTTATCTTCACTATCTACAAATAGAATATTTTGTCTTAGTATTTTACACTTAAGCATTTCATCTTCATGTAACTTTTGAGGTCAGGAACGTTGTTGGCTTTGTAATTAGTGGCCGAAAGAGTCAGATAAACCTGTAGGGTCAGTTCCTTTGACCCAGTCAAGGAGACCTTCAGCCATTATTTCTTTAATTTCTTTTTCAAGACGTTCATAACATTTCAAAACAAATTTGATAGTAAGCGAGGTTAAAGGGATAAGGACTTCAGCAGTAATGATGGTTAAATTGGGAGTTCCCTTTTCTGAAATTAGTTTCTTATTGATAGTCTAGGAGGTGCTGGTTTTGACAAGCTGCAGGATTTGATTCAAGATTACTTGCTTAGATTGTAAATAAATTGTTCTTTTTCTGGGATTTGGTGTCAGAGATTACTTTAGAGAAGGGATGCTAGTATGTGACTGCATCACTTCCAGTAATGGTAGTTTTGTGGGTATTGTGTGTAATTTTGAGTTACACTGAGTTTAGGAAACTGAAACCTGCTGCTGCTGTGCTGATAGGTGCTGTAAGAATGACTGAATGATATGCATGAATTTGTTCAGATAAAATAGAAGTTGGTTTCCCCCACCAGAGATCTATCTAAAATTCACATTGAACCAGAACCACTGCACTACAGAAATGCACATGAAAGTCTTAACTCTTTTTCTTTTTCAATTGTGCCTCTCAAAACTGTTGCTTCTGATAATTCGTAGAAGGAGGTAAAATATTGTGGCGGACATCACAGCCAGCCTAGAGATAGAAAGCACCCAATTGTGACAGTTGTCCTCTACCTGTTAAATTAGCATCTTATTTCCACAAATGCTTTGTGGAAGCTTTAAATAAACATTGCTCTTTTTGGGTGCTTACTCAAGCATTGAGGTTTGACCAGGTTATAAGAGAAATAGTCTATCACCTTGGCAGCCAGAAATAACATGTCAAATTGATAGCTAACAGTAGCATATAAAAGCACACCCTTAACTTTTAAAAGGGGGATAAAAATGTAAAAGAAAAGTGATGCTGTACTGTAGAGTTTGTTTTTCTTTAAGGCCTGAGGATTTTAATTACGGTGTTCATAAATCAAGTGATGAAACACCTATAATTCGACAGAGAAAGTTCTTTATATGATTAAAAGCGTGTTCATCAATACCCGAGTGCCTATCTGCATTTTATCTGACAGAAGCATCAGATGGGCAATGTTGTCAAAATATCTAAACCATATAATATTTGCAACAAATATGATATTTCAGCAGTCTGAAAATTACAGTGCTGATAATGAGGTGGTTTAAATTATAGCTCTATCAGTTGGAGAGTGAAACTGCTCTAGTTAGTGTACGTTAACGTGTGCTTGTTCACACAAGTGATTCTGCTGAACAAGTAGCATGTATGAACAAGAAATACTGGTCTTAAACCCTGTGATTTACAGTAGGTGCTGTTTTGGCATATCACACAGTTAACAAGGCAAAGCTTCACGTTAAAATATTTCATTTGTCGTCTCATTCATCACTGATATAAATATTCAGCAGTCATGCCAGGAAACGTATTGTGTTCCTGTTTGACTCGGTGACTCAATTGCTTTCTTTTTTCTGAAACAAGTTCTATGCTATCTTTTTAATGCAATTTTCAGGTGTTTTCCTTGTGGTCAAGATGAATTCTGAGGGATTGTGAGAAAGCATACTAGCTCTTTTGATAGCTTTCGTGTTTCCTTAAACTAATACATGAAATATGTTGTCCTGTAGTGAGTAGTAAAGGCTTTATTTTTGACTCTCTGTGCCAAGTTCAGAGACGCGTTCACGTGTACACAGGTTTGTTAGTTTATGTTGGAGGGAAGTCCCTGTAGGACAGCCTTTTGTTGTAAAATAAAAACACGCATTCTCTCTTCCGT